CATTGTTTTTAATAATATAAAGGTTACCCATATTCACGATTTGCAGTTAATCCTGGATGGGACTTAGAAATAGCATCTCCTGGACTTTTGCGCTTGTTCCAATATTTTACTAATTAATTAAGTATTTAGTTTTTCATTAATCTTACCAGACCAGGCGGGCTTGAAACCTGGTTATTATTGTCTAGATATCCATAGGTTCTTCTTAATCTAAAACAAAGATACACCGAGGCTACAAAGCTTACATAGCAATTCGTATCATATCAAATTGGATACCCATTTGACCCCATCAATGCTGTTTCTATCGCACCATCAAGGCTGCAGCACCACAAAAACTGACCTAGTCCGGTTAGCAACTCATTGCAACAACTGCTAACGGTAAACTATGATTAAAGTGAGTGTCAATGCGCACATTTTCAAACTTATGTTCATGCATGAGAGTCCAATTTCCAAAATTGGGCACGAAATGCGCAGTACTATCGCGAACAGCAAAATTCACGAGTGATTTTTCTTTAGGTAACATCGTGAGCTCTTGTGTTCGCCTCTGTTATAACATTGGCTTCTATCTATCTCTTTCTCCAGTGCTAGCAGCTCAGGGTTAGTGAAAAAGACAGACTTAAAACTGAATGAGTCAGTAATATGTCTAAGAACGTTCTTCATGATTGTACATTGCCACTTTTAGCATTGTTATACGCTTTTTAGTTCGCGTACACATCTCCGATGAACGGGCTTTAATAAACTGAGAAAGATTACAAGTTTGATAACTATAGTTTTGTATGTGAATCATAGGTTTGGCAAAACAATGGTACATTATTACATTTTTAACCGACCTTAAAATATGAGGTTCTATGTGAGTATCTTTTATATTTTACAATCATAAGATGAAAGATGAATTCAAATGAAATTACATAATATAATTTAATTATTCCTAATGTTTTGGTTGCTGCAAACAAAAATTTTTTAAGAAGATCACACTATCATCAATAACAAATTATTCTTTGTTGGAAAGAATTAAACATTTTATAAGAAAGTTTTACTTTCGTTTTTAAGATTAATGCTAATCTACTAACATATTTATTTTTCAAAGTTATTTAAAAATACTAAAAAACTCCACTAACCTAAAAAAATTAGGTCAACAATGGCGTCGAGTCGACACTGAAAAAAGTCAACAAATCAATTCCGCGTATTTAACATCCACTAACCGAGAAAAGTGTCAATGAGAAACAAGTGAAAACAAGTAGCAGTTTCAGAAAGCAAAGCAAAACAAATCGTAATTAAACTGATGAACTGGGGCGTGAAGAGAGCGTTGCAACAGCCGGATCTGCCGAAACTGCGCACGCGCCGCCAAGACATTCGATGTTCGGAATCTCTCCGTCTCTGTCAATCATTCAGCTGAGCGAGAGAGACAGAAGGCCGAAAACGAAATGGAATTGCAGAATAGGACTACAATCGTACGTAACCCACATCCTGCGGGTAATGTTAACTTTTTTAATTGAAATGAATGATATATTAGGTACTTACCTACTAGCACATTAAATTCAGCAAAAAATTTGGCAATTCCAGACCAGGTATCAATAAAATTAACAAACAAGAATTAAGAAGAAAATTATTTTGTGACAGTAACATTTTTGGAAATTCTAAAACGTAAAAATGCGTGTAAAGCGTAAAAAAAATAAAGAATAAAATGCGGACTTATTTTCGGACTTATGCGTTAACAAAAAGGAAGAAGTAGAAGTTATAAAATTGTAAGAATTTTTATTTTTTCAGTCGACTACTGCTCCGGTAGTTTATTTTTAAGGGCCATTCAGACTGCGATGTGGTCGTTAAACTTTACAATTTAACCGCGTCAGTTAAATTATAGCGAATGTATGTTTATAATGCGAGGTAGGTAACAAGACGCAGTTAAAACTTTAACGTTAAACGTTTGTAGATTTAAAATCGTAATAAAATCTTTACAATACGATTAGCCGCAACCCGTTTTGTTTGTTTGAATGGTCTTTGAGAGATCAACAGTAAAATATCAAAATAGAAGAAACTGTTTCCACATTAACAACTAGATCTATTATTCTAAATCAGATAATCCAATTAGAAATATTTTCTATGAGATTTTATTCTCGTAAGTTTTTAAAGGCTTTGTTTTCAAATGCTATTGCTATGCTACGCAAAATGCTGGAAACAATAAACATTGTCTAAATCATGAATAGCAGTGTATTCTAGATTTGACATTCCACAAAAGAAAACATTGCTGCAAAACAAACAATATTGAATTATGAACAATAGCGACTAGAAAATAGTAATAACAGCATAAATACTATTACTTCAACTACTAGCATAATAACATAAAGATTATTTAGGTAAGTCGCATTATAAATTGATGATATGATTTCATGCTTTAGGTAATTTCTTATTTTTCCACCTTACTTCGAAAGCCTCACAAGATCCTCATCATCATCATTTCAGCCACAGGACGTCCAGTCCACTGCTGAACATAAGCCTCTACCAATGATCCACATCGCCCAGTTGGTACTGTTGGTAGCGGCCTGAATCCAGCGCCTTCCTCCTGCTTATTGATGTGCCGTTCCCGAGAACGCTCTCTCAGCTGAGAATATTCTCGGGAGCGTTCCCGGGAGTGTTCTCCTAAGTGAGAAAGGTTGAGAATCATGTTTATAAAATGGAAATAAACAAACTTTCTTAAGTAAAATTGTATTAAATTAAGTCAACAAATAAGTGTATATTAAACAATACACTCTATTTGCAGTGAAAGGCTATATTCTCAGTGTTCCCGAGAATATTCTCAGGAACTTTCTCAGCAATATTCTCGGCAACTGCACCTTTATTATATTTTATTTTTTTCGTCGTAAAATGTCGTTTTAATGATATGTGAGATGACAGAAATTTCTTTTTGCACGTAATTAAATAATGTAACTGTATTTTTTTTTCGTTTTTAACACGCTTTTATTAGGTCGTCGTGTATGTAACTAACTATGTAATGGAATATTAGAATCTGAATTACACGCACTTCTAAGTCTTGTATCATCATGAAATTTGGCAATTATATGTAGATTAGATGACAATACAATTTTGTGGTACCAGCTGGTCTGATGATGAGACTGGAAGGTGGCCAAAGGAACTCCTAAATGAAACGGCGGAATCACATCGAGTTTGGGTTCATTGGATTTGTCTTTTTGAGATCTTTAAGTGCTAGATAATGTCCAGGGTCCTAATGATGGAGTCAAGAGGTGGCCATAGGAACTCCTAAACGAAACTGCGGAATCTCATCGAGTTTGGGTTCGTTGGATTTGTCTTTTCGAGCACTTTAATGCTAGATGATGTCCAAGGTCCTGATGATTTTTGGCTTTTTAGTGCTGTTAGTAATTAAAAGCGTGTTTCACAATCGCTTAGTAAGGGCCTGTTTCGCCACTTCTGGATAAGTTGTGGATAGCCTATCTGACGGATCATTTGACACATTTTTATAGAAAATACGTGCTACCTAGATTGATCCGACACTTAACGAATATATCCCGTACATTAGTCTGTACGAGATTAGAATAGTTCTCAAACAGCTGAAAAACAACAAGGCACCGTAATCACGTCTGAGCTTCTGAAAGCAGACGGAACGCCGATACTAAAGGGTTTTCAGAAACTATTTGATTCCGTCATCCTCGAGGGAAGAACGCATACGGCATGGCAAAGAAGAATGGTTATACTCCTCTTCAAAAATGGTGACAAAACCTTGTTGAAGAATTATAGACCCATTTCGCTTCTGAGCCATGTCTACAAGCTGTTTTCGATAGTCATTACGAATTGTCACGCTAGCAGGCTCGACGACTTTCAGCCCCCCGAACAAGCCGGTTTTCGAAAAGGCTTTAGTACCATATACCATAATAATATACGCTACGGCAGATTATACGGAAGATCAAGGAGTATAATCAGCCACTTTGCGTTTGTGAACTATGAGAAAGCCTTCGATTCGATTGAGACATGGGCAGTGCTTCAGTCTCTTCAACTGTGCCAAATTGACTATTGATATAGTAAAGTGTTGAAAGGCTTGTACAAACACGCCACAGTAACAGTCCGTTTTAAGATCAGGACCCGAAACCTATCCAGTTGCAGAGAGGGGTGAGACAGGGAGACGTCATCACCACCGCCCTGGAAGATGTTTTCAAGCTTCTGGGCTGGAGCGGATTCAGCATAAATATCAACGGCGAGTACATAACCCAGACAGCAGACGATATCGTAGTCATGGCTGAGATCGTGGAAGATCTAGGCACAATGCTCGATGGTCTCAATAGTCTCTAGACAAGTGGGTCTCAAAATGAACATGGACAAGATTTAAAAATCATGTCTAAAGACCGTGTTGCACCCACTCCTCTAAAAGTTGGAGACTCTACCCTCGAAGTTGTTGAATATAATGTATACCTGGGGCAAACAGTCCAGTTAGGTAGGCCCAACTTCGAAAAAAAGGTCAATCATCGAATCCAGCTCGGCTGGGCAGCCTTCGGGAAGCTTTACGATATTTTCACGCGGCTTCTCCGTCGCGTCGCCGCTCCGCTTTAAATCCACTTTGAATCCGCTTGCAATCCGCCAGGGTGGCAAGGGCCTTAAAACTCAGAGGCACACTGATGTTCAAATACCGTAGCCGAGTCCTAAAGCCGCGGCACGCGTTCGCCACGAAAAGAGTGAGCAAGACTGCAATATTTCACTCACACGTTTTATGCCTTGTTTATAACGACTAGTCTTAACGCCCAGTTAATAAAACATCGAAACATTACAAATAATATCACATATAAACAACAAAATTAAAATTAAAACTAAATGTATTCTGTCGAGAACACTGAGAATATTCCCGGGAGCGTTCTCGGTTCTCGAGAATATTCTCACTGGGAATATTGCCGGGAACGAGAACTTTCTCAGCGGCACATCTCTACTCCTGCTACCTTTATGTGGTCAGTCAACATGATCACGAAAAATTTACAGTTATAAAATCTGACAAAGGAACTTACCTATTTATCTGTATCATCATACGAACGCGAAACACTTCTAGAAGAATCCGTGGCAGTGGTGATTGTGACGGCAGGAGGTCCAATTGTAAAACATTTATAAAATAGCTTTAGCTTCTCAATACTTGAGATTTGTACTTTTATTAAAATAAGGGCACTTTATTTATCACTTGTTCGATCGTTTCCTGTTAAACAGAAATGTTAACGTCCTTTTGGTATAAAACTCGACAATCATAGAACTACCAACCATGCGGAGCAAAATACCATTAAAACTATGTTAGAAAGATACTGTTATATCTAAACGAAAGGATTACAAGCACTTTTGAAATGGTGGGACCGATTTTTATTGAATAAACACCATAAGAGCGCATCCCAAGACCATAAAAAGGGAATAAAAACAAAAATGCGGGCGCCTTGTATGGGTTCATCTCAGTGTAAGTTAAGACACCGTAAAATTTCATAAAAAAAGAGTCAACTCATGATCATGTAATAAAACTAATAAGATTGCTTTATAAGAAAATATAGGGAGATATAGGAAAAATAAATATGAAAGACGTAAACGTAAAAACATTAGAAAAACATGCGTTTGATGATTCATAGACACATAATGTAGAGAGTTTAGTAGCTAAATAGGAATAAGAATTAAAACACGGGTAAAGAGAAACCGCAAATTGCTCGTAAAAAGTAAACGTCTATTTTGACCCACATCTTACAGTTAACAGACTAAAAGAAATTCAACTCAAACGCAACACGAGTGGTTTGTTAAACTTTGAAAAACATTGACTCGATTGTGAATAAAATACTTCTTACTCGGAAATTTAACTATACGATTCGAGAAATTTGTTTTGATAGGGGTTCGTACTTATAACACGAGATTTCATTGAGTCATTTTCTAGTGTTTGCAAATCTTTAAATGAGAAGAAGCAATTAAAGTTTCTCACAAGTAATGACAGTAAAAGTAAGGATGGGTCTGTATGGGAAAGGTAATTATATCTCCCACTACTCTGGTTAGTACTCGACTAATTGTGCAGAAAATAGCAAGCCACATAACATGCTGTTAACAATAAACTGCGGTTTGGAGCTCGGTGAGTCATTACGCCGAGTTTCCTCATGGATGCGAATTATACAATTTCACTAATACTTAGCAGTCAATAGACCGTCTCTGGCCTTGGTTGTTACTTGTTAGCATTTAATAATTTGACGGTAATGCATGAGCAGGATTCGTACCGTCTAACATTTAAGATGCAGTAAACGCGTGGGGAACTTAACAACTCCCTTTAAGACAATACACACACGCTTATAGGTCAACGAACTTTCAATTTCCCTTTCTTCCATGGAAGTAATTAATTTCAAAGTGTCAACGTTTGGATGTCTGCCATTTTTCGGTTGCGTAATACTGTACACGATCTGGATGCACACCGTGACTCAGAGGAAGTGCCGACTGAAGTTGACGCTCGCAAAAAGTTGCCAATTGCCAAAGGTGAGTTGGGCAATTTGAAACTAGATTGCCGGTTACACTTGAATGGGGGTAAAAAACTTGGCAATGAAGTCACGTTTATAAGTGAAGCGAAGCGTGCAACAAGTGGTAAGAACTCTACCGAGAAACGTAACGAGATACCAAGATAAGTAAAGGATGAAAGAGACAAGACAGTGGAAGATTAACTGCCCACGATGAAGGTGTTAAAGGGAAGATAATCGGCTCAGATGCAATTAGAGATGCACCGTAATAAATAACAGGCGCTAGTAAGCAGAGTTGACACGTTGTTTATTTTATGTTAACTTCAAAATAATTAGTTCTCGGAAAGGCGACCGTTATGATTCTAAGGGAGGGAAATACCGTTTTTTATCGTTCATCGTAATTACTAACAGCAGTTTTTGCAACGCTCTTTACAAATAACAGGTTAGTGTTTACAAGCAAATGTCATTGCTGGCCGGTTACATATGATAATTGCAGTGCAGTAACACCCGTGCGCAGGATTCGATTAACCTCGAAAACGAAAGTCGCAGACTGCACCGACACACTGCCGAACGGTCAAGGTGAATCGGTCTAGCGATTGTGTTAGTTATTGATAAAACACCGAGAAATATTTTCTGTTACAACAAATATAAATTGGCGAAGATTATCAGTGACTACGTGTCTGATACGAGTGTTGATGACACAGTATTACTCGCAAAGGATAATGTGTTAGTGAGATATTGAATCGGATTATAAACAAAGGCAGTTGAAGCAAATTGAAACCAATTTAAACCAGACGTAGCCTTGGATCTGAAGTGAACACCAACAGATGCCACGAAATTTCGTTCGTAAGAAAGGCGCCCGCATATGTAAGTCAGGATAACCGCACCCGAACCACACTCGCAAACAGGTTTCCGTGCACTATTATTATTAAGGGCTCGTGCCAATACAGGCAGAAACGTGCTCCACAATACAGTTAACAAAGAATCTCAACAACATAACGCAAGAAAGACAATCGCTGAATTTTATACCAAAAGGACACAAATGCAAGATGCAACAAGAAATCCACTCGTAGTTATTTCTCATCGGCGTTCAGTCGTCCGGTGTAGTTAATCCATGCATACACTTGCACATCCATTAACAATAAGGCACTTGTCTAGCGGTTAGACTAGAAAACAGTTTTAGTTTGCGTTAAAATAAATTCACGATTTGAGCACAACGGACTGTCTGCGGCAGTCGGCCATGCGCGATGCCGGCGACTTGCAAACTGTTCCGTTCCGAACTAAACATCAACCGCCACGCGGAGGGCGCCCTACCTTGCGTCTCCCTCGCCAGTCTGAAACGCGTACGAGTGAGGGAGACGACGGATCTTCACGCGCCGCTCGTTTCTTATCGCAGGATAAAGTTTACAGCGACGTGAATAGTTGCCGGGCATTAGTCAGAGTGGAACGGAACGATTAGGTTTTTTTATGTATTTGGCAGGACTTTTTTCCGAACGTTTCGGACTGTGGTTGTTGTCTATTTTTGTTATCGACAGGCGTTCGGGCGTAACGAAAGAGGCGCGGGATAGTTTATTTAAGAAGGAAGTATTTGGATGAGTGACAGAGGATTCTAGGAAGCGGATTTAATTATAGGCTGGACTCTGAATGTCAATTAAATACGCGAACTTACTAGTAGTAGATCAAGGTCGCAGCTGAATATTTGAGGGTTACAATAATTCTAGCAAATAGCCAACCATCGAAGAATACGAGTACCGTAACGCTTATAATTTTGCAGGTGGCTACGTTGACCTAAATTCATAGTGCTGTTATCTAATTGGATTTCTTATCGATCAGACGCGCAGAAAGGCCTACTTTCAGATGAAGTTTTGATAAACGGTGCACATAACTGACATGTTAACAAAGATTTGCGATTTTAACCGCTCGAACCTGAAAATTTCGAAATAATCATATGATGTTTGAACGGTTACGTAAACTATCCAATCAAACATCATAATAGCAATTGTGATTATGCAGGAATACGACTGTGTAATTATTTTTGAATCACCTACAGAGACGTAGAAAAAAATGGACAAAATAAAGTAGCAGGAGTTGTAGGTATCGTACGATTGCATAAAGTAAAAGTAAGCAATTTAGTTAACATTTAATTTTTTTAGGTGCCTGCACGTGTCCTCTATTCACACAATAACTTTAAATTATAGCTGGTTTTGTACCCAAAAGATATCGTCTCATCCATCTCTTGTAATAAGATAATTTTAAAACAATACTCAAGGTAATCTAAAGTAAAGTAATGGTTATGGTTTTGGAGCTAAAACAAAAGACGGCAAATAGAGCAATTAGAAAACCATCTAAGTACAGTACTTGCTTTTGCAGTTACATAAAAGGCAAAGCCCTAAAGTCGTGAAGGGCCCAAACAAATGACGAGAGCGTTAAATTGACCGTGCAGTGCATTGGGAAATCTCATTGTGCTTCAAATGATAGAGATTCGTGAAATTATCTTCAAGGGAACTGAGTATACGTTCTAATAAGAAAAACCTACAACGCTTTCTAAGAACCATATAAAGCAAACAGTCCTTTTTAAGATGACATAAACCTAAGCACAAATTGCAAGCATTGATTGGGACACCTTTCGTTGATCAGAAATCACCAAAATACAATTAAGACAATCGCATGGAGAATTTAGAAACTAACTAACACAACTAACACACTAACTATACCTACCTACTTACCTGGATAAACGAATCGACCTAACATGGAAAAATAGCATGTCCATGACATTTTACAAGTATATAAAAGTCACAGTGTTCAAGTACTTAGTTTCTATCGTCTTCTTCTTCTACTTTTATTTTGGCGACGTAGTTTCTATCTTTCATAATGTGCCATCAACACTCAACAGGTCTGTACATTTGTTTTTAAATTCCGCAAAGTGCAACAGTAATCAGACTACTAAAAAAAGCTTTATTAGCAATCCGCAAAGTTTTTTGAACCCGCTGCCATAACAGAGCTAAGAAAAACACAATTTATTACATCTTGCCACTTTCACCAGTGGAATATGACGAAGAAACTCATGTCCCCAGGCAAAAAATACAATTGGTCATATTTGAAGTGAATGAAATAAATGATCTTGAGATATTGATGCAATCGGTTCATACATTAATTCGTTGTCACAGACCATAGATCATAGAGTTGGCGTAATCAGTTTTATTTTAAATGTCAATTTATTCATGAGTACCAGTGAAGCCGGAAACAATTAAATCGCTTCTATTGTTTATTCGTTACCATCTATTTTATTTATATTTGTAAGTATTCGGTAGGTATTTTAATTGTCAGTAACGGTTACACGGGGCCAAAAGGACATTAAACTTATTTTATCGTCTAGTACATTGTGTTACATACAATGTACTAGACGAGACTAAAGTCAAAACTTATGACACACTACAGCTACAGCTATGGCCTCTGAATATGCCTTGATCGGAATTTCCATTTCAAGGTATGATCCCCAAATTTCAATACAGACAATCAAAATAATTTAGGTCTGCAATGTTTTTACCGAACTGGGAGAAATTGAGAGTAATTCTAACTTTCTCACCACTGACTACAAAGCTATTAATTATGGAGACTTAGTTATTAATAAGCAAGTAGTATTTTCTTCATTAAAGAGGAGGCAAATAGGCATATGGTCGCCTGATGGTTAGCAATCACATCTGCTTGCAACATCAGAGGAATCACCGACGCGGAAAGTGGCTCCATTTAAAAAGACATACGTAAATCATATACTACATCTATCATATTTGCTTGAGTGACCTACGAGATTGGACCATCAATTAATCTATCAAATTGATATTGCAATCTACCTACGGTTAATAACTAGTTAGGTCATTGTGTCAAAGATGTTATTGTACAAACCGAAACAGAATTAAACCCTATAATATATGCTTAAACAACTGATACATATGTACATATTATTATGCAAGCAAATTATCTACCTACTAATCGAAAATGTCGAAAATTTAGAGAATGCTTCAACTTTTAATAAGACAATCGACTGCATATCATGATAGTACGAGAGCCCACGACCAAAACCATGTCTCATAGCAATACGGCAAAAACCCTATAAAATCGTTAGATTGTATGATTCTGAACCCGACTAGGTGTGTAGTAACGGTCGAAAGTGTAGCAACTGCGTGGGAGGCCATTTCTGCTGTGTCAAAAAAAAAAGACAGTCGGTATTATAGCAATACGTCTGATAGTGAAAATGTACATAGATTTTATAATTGTATTACGAAAAAGTTTGTTTTCAGACATTTTGCGCGTAGCATATAGCCTGAGCGCATTTTTCAAAATGTCAACAAATTTAGCCGATCTGTATCATAGCAATACGGATAATTTTTTTTTTCATCTTTTCGTATTGCTGCCATGATTACCAAAAACCTGTTTTCAGACACTTTAAGTGAATCAAAAAGTTGTATGATAGAGAAGGTGCTACACTTAATTTGTCTGTTATACATTTTTTGCACATGTGGACAACTTATTTTATCATGTCCAACAATTTTCAGACATATTGCTATGATACCGATCGGTAAAATTTGTTAATATTTTCAAAACGGTCTCAAAATTTAATGCGTTCACATTTCCGTCTGAAAATTGTTTTGTTCGCATCAAATAACCAAAATTTACTAATAAAAAAGATTTTCAGACGTATTGCTATGAGACATTTTTTTTGTCTCATTTTTAATTTTTTTAAGTGATTTTACGGGTTTGCGCTACACCACTAACGTCTGAAAATAATGTTTCCGGTATCTCAGAACTATCATTCAACTACAGTCTGCAAATCAGACATATTGCTATGATGCAGTTCGGTAAAATTCTTTGACAATTTTGAAAATTCGGTCAGATCAAACGCTACGCGGAAAATGTCTGATATTGGTATTTTCGAGTTCAGGATAATCGTATCTATCGATTTGATGCGGTTTTGGCCGTATTGCTATGAGACAAAAATTTTGGTCGTGGGCTCTCGTACTATGAAGGCAATCAATTCATCGATCGTATTCGAACTCCTCCTATTTTCTTCGGATGACTTTCGTTGCAATTCAAAATTAAATAACAGTTGAGCTTCTTCTGGGACATACTTGTCCTTCACTGACTGACATTTTGTTGGCGGTCAATCTGTAGACTGGCTACACAGGAGTTGCAGCAATGGGAACAAGAGATGGGATTAGTTTTTCAAGATCAGCAAGCTTCTGCTCTGCTCTGTGTATGCTCATATGATTAATGGTTTCCACACCAGTTGTAGCCCTACTGACCTACCTATACCTATCATGCCGTCACGGCGGATCAGTATCAACCATCAAGCAACAATGATGAACTCGTTCACGAAATACCTGCAACTTTCACTTGGCCCTTCTGTAGACCAAGTCAGGGATCTCTTTTTGTGTAAATAGAAGATGGGAGATAAACCCAAATCTAAAAGCCGTAGGAGGTCGGTTAATGACTTTTGTACTTTGCAAAGTAAAGATTCCTTTTTTCTTGTTAAGATCTTTAATGGTGTGTTTTTATTTGTCGAATCATTATGACAACATAAAGTTTTTGTTTATTTTGTAAAGTTTCCTTAATCCAATTTAAAAGAGTTTGGCTCAAACGAGAAAACTAAAGCAAGGTAATGTACAGGATACAGATGTTGAAGATAATTTCAAGTCTTTTATATCCTATGATTAATCTATCGTCTTTATTAATGATACACAGTGATTCAGAGGTTTCTATCTTAGCCTCGGCGATGTATCACGTTTCTCTTAAGCCTTAAAAAGTAAAAGCGTTGATGTTTCGGCTTGTCTTTGTAGTTAGCCTGCGCAGGCGCCGACGGCAAAGGGAAAGAAATAATTGATTTTTAATGGGAAAATGACTGACAGTCCCTTGTTGGGCAATTTGTACTTCGAGAAAGTGTCAAGAACTTTGTATGCTCCATCTCTAACGCGGAAGAAATTTTCATATCTATTGTGTTCCCATTTCGTCACGCCGCTTTAGGTTTGTTGTGTTGAAAGCCTTATGCTTATTGCTAACCAAGAAACCAATGGTACTGACGATAACATATTCAATTAAATAAGCAGTTTACAGAGCGTTATTTCCAATGTTTTAAGACTTTATCCTGAGCTATTTTCGGTTCAAATTCCTTTTATACATACTTAAGTAGTAAAAAATGTTATTCTCAAAACATCGGCAGATACCAACATCAAAATGAAGACACAGAAAAGTAGAACAACTAAAATCGA